GCTTTTTCTTGTTCTCCTGGAGCCCTGCCTTTACCATGGTACATGTCCAGGCTAGTCTGCTGGCAGATGAGAGACCACATGGAGCAGACACCAGTCAGTCCAGTTGTCCCAAACACATAAGAGAACCCAGTCTAGATGAGAAGTCATCCAACTGACTCACAAACTCAAAGCAAAACCTTCAGAGCAAAGGTGAAGGTTTATTGGTGTCTGCCATTGAAGTTCTGTGGTTTAGTTTGTAAAGTCACATGACAATAGATATCCCTCTTGAATTTGTGCACCAATCAATGGTTACCACTAGTCCCTCCCTTCTCTCTATTCTCCCAGTCCATCCTCCCTCAATAGCTTCACATGCATTTCCATCCACGTTCATCCTGAAGAAGTGAGGAGATCAGCGATGAAAGGCCTGACAGGTGTCAAATTCCTGGCCCCTAAGTGATCCTATAGTAAGGGGCATTCTGGCATATGGTTGCACATGACACCCCGTGTCAAATTCTAATTTCAATTTGGGTTTCATTGATGTTTTGTTATTTCTACATCTTTGTCTTTTTAACACCTCAGAACATCATTTGAACCTGTTACATGACAAGGACACTGCATGGGCTTTCTCAGTCCACCTCCTCAGTCTTCACCACCCAACAGTGGCCCTGACTTTGTAGAAATGATCCTTATTTCCACGTAATTGCATTCACCAATCAGAGCTCCCTTCTTCCTCCTCTTCTTAACCATCCCCCTCTCCCCCGCCCACTTCGCACACTCGTCCTCCTGCTGCGTCATCCATAGTCAGTCATCATTCCAGTTTGAATCACTCTCAGTCTAATCAGTGTGGGCGAGTTCCTGGAAAACATGCATGTAAGAAAATGAATGACTAGATTGTGTCACTGGGACCTAATATAAAGAACAAAGACCTATCAAGACACCAAAGGCTGGAGCCACTAATTCTGGTTTGAAGAGTCAAGGAAAACCTTCAAGAGATAAATTGTCAGCTACAATTGGAAGGAAGGAAAAAAGACTTTCTCCAGGTCAAGAAAAGAAGACAGAAATGCCTGTCTATTTCCGTAGTCACTCCCTCCCTAGCCCTTTGTAGTCTGGCTCCCACTATGCCAGCCAGTGAAATGGTTGTGTTGACAACTTTCTACTTACCAAAACAATAACACATTGCTGTTGAGCAGCTCCCTGTGACTCATCATCCCTGCTTAATGAAGTCATGACACCTTTTCTTGAGTGCTTGTTGTGAGCCAGACCTCCCACCAAACACCCCTCTTCTCATTTCACCCTCACAACAACGCTCATTTAAAACATGATGGATTGCTGACAGAGAGTTGAGACCAATTTCCCAAGGTTTTATGACCACAGAAGAGCAGGATCAGGGCTTGGACTCCAATCTGTCTGATTCCAAACCTGTACACACAGTCGCCATGCCCTCGCTTCTTGGTCTCTGATTGCTGAATGATCCTGTTCCTTCACCCCTTCTTGCTTCTTCTGCTCTATAACCTCATCAACTCCAAGTTTCCATCAGTGACCTTTTCAGCTCTTCGTTTTCTTTCTCTATTTATGACCTCCCTCTTTGGTTTCTCTCTGCAGCTGCCTCTCAAATTCCAGAAGCCACACACTTGCATGTACAATTGCCTGTGAGGTGCCTTAATTTGAGTTTCCCTTATGGCATCTTAAAAATTCAACATGCCCAAAACTGGATCGTTGTCTTCCCCGAAAACCAATTCCACCTCCTGACCATTTTCTCTGAATCAGGGAGGTTAAAACTTAGAGTGGGCGGCTTATTTCTGACAGCCTCCTTCACTCTGCCTACAGCCAATCAGTTTCAGTCTTTGACATGTCACTGGAATCCATCCATTCCCACTGATAACATTGCTTATTACGCCTGGACTTCCTGTCCCAGTTTATCTCACTTTAGTCCACCTCTGCACAGAGACAGACTAATGGTTCTGATGCTCAGCTTGGATTATGTCACCGCTCTATGCAAAAAACCTTAACAGTTTCCCCTTGTTACCAAGTCCAAAGTCTACATATTAGTGTTGCAGGCCCTTAAAGCTCCAGCCTGGACTCCAGCCTTATCGCCTGTAGCCCATCTGCACATCTCCTGTGCTGCAGCAGCCCCATGGCATGCAGGAATAAGGAGTCCTCTCTGCACATTTACACCTTTCTATCTTCATGCTTC